TGGCACCCCTCACGCAGATCGGCGGGGTCAGGGTGCAAAAACACATGGGATGTGCAACATTTCTGACCTTCGGTGGCACCCATCACGCAGATCGTCGGGGTCAGGGTCCAAAAACACATAAGACTTTCAACATTTCTAGCGTTCGGTGGCACCCCTCACGCAGATGGGCAGGGTCAGGGTGCAAAAACATATGGGATTTGCAACATTTCTGACATTCGGTGGCACCCCTCCCGCAGAACGGCGGGGTCAGGTTGCAAAAACATATGGGGTTCGCCACATTTCTGACATTCGGTGGCACCCCTCACGCAGATAGGCGGGGTCAGGGTCCAAAAACATATGGGATTGGCTACATTTCTAACATTGGGTGGCACCCCTCACGCAGATCGGCGGGGTCAGGGTGCAAAAACAAATAGGATTTGCTACATTTCTGACATTCGGTGGCACCCCTCCCGCAGAACGGCGGGGTCAATTCCAAAAGCAAATGGGATTTGCTACATTTCTGACATCCGGTGTCACCCCTCACGCAGATCGGCGGGGTCAGGGTCCAAAAACAAAGGGCATTTGCAACATTTCTGACATTTGGTGGCACCCCTCACGCAGATCGGCGGGGTCAGGGTGCAAAAACAAATAGGATTTGCCACATTTCTGACATTCGGTGGCACCCCTCCCGCAGAACGGCGGGGTCATTTCCAAAAGCAAATGGGATTTGCTACATTTCTGACATCCGGTGTCACCCCTCACGCAGATTGGCGGGATCAAGGTCCAAAAACCTGAGGGATTCTCAACATTTCAGAAATCCGGTGGCACCCCTCACGCGGATTGACAGGGTCAGGGTCCAAGAACACAAGGGATTTGCCACATTTCTGAAATTCGGCGGCACCCCTCTCGCAGATCCGTAGGGTCAGGGTCCAAAAACACAGGGGATGTGCCACATTTCTGAAATTCGGTGGCACCCCTCACGCGGATCCGTAGGGTCAGGGTCTAAAAAACAAACAGGTCCCGACACTGCTTCACGGCGGCGCCCAGACCTCATGATTTAGCTTTTGCATCTCCAATTCTCCGAGACAGGGGGCCGGCGGCATGGGGCGAAACCCTTATGTATATATATGTATATATACATTTATGTGTGTGTACCCTTGTATACAGACATACACTAATACATACATACCTGCTTACCTGCGTACATACATACACCCACACATGCATGCATACACGCATGTACGCACGCATGCATGCATGCACACATACATGCATACAAACAAACGCACATACCTATATGAGCATGCACATCCATACATGCATACATACATACACAGCTGCATGCATGCATACATACATACAGTCATACAAACATACACACCTACACGCATACCTACATACATACATGCCGCATGCCTGCATGCATATATATATATATGTATATATATACAAACATACATACGTGCATACATACATATCCATACACACACCTGTACATGCATGCATGTTTGCATGCATGCATGCAACCATATATCAGACCTACCTACCGACAGACCGACAGACGGACTTACCTACCGATATACCTACCTACCATTGTACCGAATTACGGACCTACCTACATACCTACTTGCTGATTGGTTTATCTTCTTACCTACCTACGTACATATGTACATACATATACACGTACACACATTTATATATATATATATCTGTAAAGGGAGAGACATATATATATGTGGAAATATAAACACAATCAGGGATGTTCGGCCTGCTGATGCTGGTTTCGGGCCCTGGGGCTGACGAAGACTTCGTCCCGAAGAGAAGGGTAAGCGGTCCGGGGCTCCGGCTCGTCGACGGCAAGGTTGTTTTGATCTTGGCGATGTTTCCCTCGACGTCGGCCCTGGGCCTAAGACGAAGAAGTGTCACCGGAGAAAGGGTCAGGATCCCTGGGGCCGCGTATGGAAAAATCGTATCGTCGGGCGTCTGGGCCTCCGGCTCGAGTCCCAGCTGGCTCCATTCGCGCTTCAGCGCCGTCTCCAGCTTGTCGCCCGGCAGGTATGTCATCGTCAGGACGTGCTCGCCGCACAGTTCTGGGAGGGGCGTGGGCATCGCAACCGAGCCGCCCCAGCGCGGCAACACGGCGCGGCTGACGTCGACGAGATTCTGCGCCTCGCGTCGGAAGTCAAACTCCGTGAGAAACTGCTTCTTCAACTCGTCCAAGACGGGAGCCAAGGATGGCTCCACCATTCCGACAACAGCCCGTATGCAACTCATGTCCAGATGGAACGTGCGGCGCACCTCCGGGTACTGCACTTTGACCACGACCTCGGTGCCGTCGTGCAGCTTGGCGAAGTGCGCCTGGCCAATCGAGGCCGCCCCGAGAGGCTCTTCCTCGAACTGCTCGAAGACGCTTGCTATCGAGCACTGGAGACATCTCTCTATGGTGCCGTTCACATGCTGGAGGTCCTTCGGCGGGACGCAGTCCTGCAAGGTACGGAACTGCTCCAAGTACTGAGACGGCACGATGTCGGCGCGGGAAGACGCGAACTGGCCAAACTTTATGTAAAAGCCGCGCAGTGCGAGAATAACGCTCAAGGCGACTGGCGCGTACACATTGTGAAGCTGCTCGAAAGCGGCGGTGCGCTCTTCTCCCTGGTCGCGCGTGGTCATGTCGACCCACTTGTAGCGAAGAACGATGGGTCCGACCCGGGACCAAAAATATATCCCCCGCCATGCACCTTCCAACAAATAGTCGCCAGAGGAATAAGTGTACCATGCGTAAGTCGCAGGCGTGGCCACAACAAGCGAACGCCCCGTCAACCGCAACGCTCGGCTCGCGAGCGACATGGATGCGGAGGGCACGGAAAGGCACGAAGAGCCACGACCCTTGAACCAATAAGGCTACGGCTTGACTGGATGAACTGGTGCATGGGCAATGTATGTTTAATCGTTTTGATTGGAGAACCCGACTGCTTACGAACACAGCTCCCAAACACGAGACATTGCACACGGACCCGTGCCCCTGATTACTCATAGCTTGCTCGTTCCCCTAAGGTATACACGGTACGTGTCACAAAGAAATTGCAGAGAGACATGTGCGCCAACAAGCGCCTCAAAACACACCAGCCTCATCGCTGGACTGGGGTGAGGGGGACCACAAACAAGCGCGGCCGTCTGTGAAAAATCCAATCCAACAGTGTCCCATGCGCGAGCAACATTCATGACATATTCACGACAGGATTGACAACATTGATACAAATCTTGACCAAATCTGGCTGCGGCCTTTTTGATCGGTTTGTGAGGGAGGCAGTCGTATCAGAACCACTGATGAATTTGAACAGGCCGAAATCCACCTCGGGTTGCTCGACCGTCTGGCCAATACACGCGATGGCATGTTCACGAGACTCACTAACTACTCACTAGCTACAACGAGCCACCGTGCCGAGCCGCAGCTACTGAATAACTGAGGGTTGTTGCGTGCTTCTTTGGCCACGGATAACAAATCCATTGAACCTTACTGACGCCACCAAGGAACTGGTGGACTTGGTTCGACCCACCACGCTGACAATGCTGGCCAGATCGCTGGATGCCATTCTGCCCATTGCAAGCAAATGGCGAGGATCTCGCTCATCTGCAGTGCCACTGTGAACATTAGCGGCGAATCGTCCAACGATGTGCACATCTACAACGGCCTGCGACTCGATGGAGGATCCGTGCCCGCATGCGGCAACGAATGCATGTTTCTCCCGAAACTTGCACTTAGGGGGTAAAACATATTTTGAGTGCAGAAGAGAAATTGGATGGGTCCCCCGATGTTACGCCTGGTGCCCAATCGGTGGCCGGTGGCCTGTCGCGGACACCTTTGTGGGCGCCCCTTGAGCTGGGTGGGGGCGCAGGCGATTCGTACCCAGTTGGCGGCCGGTGGTCGGAGCCTCGTGGGAGCCCACACACGCTGGGTGGGGTTGGCTGGGCTTTCTTCTGATGCCCGCCAAGCGCCTCGCTGGCACTCAGTGCGCTCGGTGGGTCCGGCGGGATTTCTTGGGGTGCCCGTCCATGAACCGCCCCGTGGACGGCCGAACATCTTGCACCATATAGCCTGTACCACATCACATAGTTTGCACAGCACAGAATAATGCAGCACATAGCGTTTACCACATCGATTCCACAACAAAGCTTACACCACATAACTTATACCACATAGATGACACCACAAAACACACACACACATCACATGTCTGTCATGGCATAGTTTACACAACCTAGCTCACAAAACCGCACACCACGTCAATTGCACCAACGAGCTTGCACCGAATGGCTCGCAGTACATAGTACTAAATAGCTTGCACCGCAACGCTGACACTGGTAGCTTTCAACACATGGCGCATTCCTCATAGCTTGTTGCAAATAGATGACGCAACATAGCTTACACCACATACGTTCCACGGCGTAACATACACCAACTAGTTTGCACTGCATAGCGTACAGCACACATGCTACACCTTACAGCTTACAACTCATGGCTTGCACTACATAGCTTAACCCTACCTAGCACCGCGTAGCTGACAATAAACGGTTTACACCAGATGTATGGCGGAACGTATCGCGCACCACCTACATTTCGCCGCCTGGCCGACATATCCACGTTGCAATCACTGACTTCTCCGCTTATCACTCAGAACGCTCATTTGGATCACGCTTAGGGGGGGGGGGCAGGGCTGAGGATCTCCGCGAGGAGGACACCTACTCAGAGAGAACGCGAGATCCTGATGAGACCGAATGACACACATTTTTTCCCACGCGAGGCCGCGCTCCCACTCCAATGAGCCCGTGGCGCCATCGCCGAACGCGAGGCCGCACCGCCGATGCATCGGCGATGTGGTGGGATCCAGCGACTCACTCCTACGCCAACCCCATTTGGGAAGCTTAGAGGGCGGGGCGCACCGACTCCGACGACAGGTCACACCGACCGACTCCGACAACTGGGCGTTCCCACGAGGAGGCCGCGCACCTGCTCCGATTTGCCCATCGCGCCATCGCCGAATGCGGGGCACTGGATGCTGGCTCCCGGCGCGGCGAGCTGCGGCTCCCCAGGCGCAGACGGTGGCCTGGAACTTCCACTCGGCCCCGCACCTGCTCGAATCTCCGTGGCCATGCTGCATCAGCCGGGCGGGCCTGTGTCCACGAAGAACAGCGTGGAATCTTCGTCGTCCTCTACCTCTTCGTGAGCATCATCTTGCTCCAGAAGTGGCGACGCGGCCGTCGTCTCGAAAGCGACGCCTTCAACTCGCCGCCTCTTTGAGCTGGCCGGAGCCTGCTCAGGAGCAAGTTGATTTTCGTCTTCTGCACATTCAGCGGCAGAGCCCTCAAGATGGGCGCCATCTCCGTCATCGTCATCGACCAGATCCACGACCACCGGGGACTCAAGCTCCTGGTACGGGTCAGCCGCTGCCAAGTACGGGTCTGTGGCGACAGGTGTGTGCGGCACCGCCTCGGCGGACGTGTCTGGGAAGGCCTCCGGCGATGCGGGGGGGGAGCCGAGGAACATCTGCAGCTGGCCCCCCTCCACGCCGTCGGGCCTGTTCGGGGGCGTGGACTGCACGTCTCCGGTCTCGCGGTTGCCCCAGTACCGCCTCCCTACCTTGGACGCCACGTTCCTAATCGCGCTCATCGTGACGGCAGACGGGTTCTTGGCGTGCTGCAGCCTGCCCTGCACAGACTCGATCAGGAACGCCGCCTCGTCGTCCTCGAGCGCCCGCAGGCTCTTGGCCGCCAGCTCGTCCAAGGCGAAGACGCGTATGAACTTCTCGATGGGGGCCTCTCGAGGAACAACAAGGCACCGACCTCGCCACCCCATGGATCTCTCCTGGGGTGCGCTCTGACCAGAGCTTCGAGGAAGATCCAGCGTGGCGACGAGAACTCTCGGCGAAGAGGAGCGGCATCGATACTCGAGAAACAAATGATGGCACAATCATGCAATTTCGGAGGTCCACGCAGATTTCTTGGATTGGCGCTGGACCCCCCTCCCTGGGGCGCGGAGCGCGCCAAGGGCGACGCTGGAGGCGCCGCCAGGAGCTCTAGCGCCAAGCCGAGAAATCCGCGCGGACCTCCGAAAGTTTATGTTGTGTCATGATTTGTGCCCCGAGGTACCTTTTTTTTTCATGTGAGCCTCGGTGCTCGACGTCGCCTGGGCCGCCTGGGGCTCCAGACGTCTCCAGGGCACCGGCCCCGACGGCCGCTGGGGGGAGGCTCCAACGGGCGCCCCCGCTGCTTGCCCCGCGGCCCGGTGCTCCGCGCGGGCGGGCGCCCAGCGGGGGGTCCCGCCGCTGGCCTGCGCGGCGTCCTGTAGGCGATCGGCACTCGGTCCATGCCCCTGCGCCCCGACCCACACGAGGGGCCAGAGCGCGGAGGTGGGTCGAATGCTCGCCTCCGAGGCCGCGCTGTTTTACACCCATACCCTGCTGCACCCGGCGCTCAGAGCCAGGGGCAGCAGCAGGAGTCTGGACTTCGAACGTCGACCGCCGATCCTGCGCCCGCGAGCGGGGCCCGGAGGAGCTCTGCTTCTCGCGCAGCAGCCTCGCGATAGTCTCCTTGGCTGTGCGCCCACCAGGGGGGGGGGGCGCGAGAGGGGCGGGCGTCTGAGCAGGCGGAGGGGCTTCCCAACAACTACAGGGCCCCCCCTGCAGAATGCCCCGTAAGCTTCTCAGAAGGCTCCTTGGAAGCCGGGCGGACTTCCGAGAAGTCCTCCAGCCCTCCTCGCAGCCCGCCCCCTCGTGCCACCCCCTTCACGGGCACCGCCAACAACCTGCAGCACCTGCCCGCGCACGGCCTGACTGGCCGGCGCCGCCTTGGGGGCCACCCGCGGCTGCAGGCCGAAAGGCGAGAAGAGCTCGCCCGCCTGTTGGTGTTTCAAAGGCAGGGCCCTGAGGTGCCTCAGACAACGCAAGTCCACCTCAGGATCCCTCCCCGTCCTCGGGTCCCCCGTCCCCGAAGGCCCCATCTTTAGAACGCCGAGCCTGCGCGCCGTCGCCTCCGCCGCTGCCGGCGGCCGGCCCGCCCTCGCTGCCAGCGGCCTCCGCTGCCTCGCCGCACCCCGCGGCGGCCGCCAGCAGGTCCAGCACGTCGGACCAGGGCTCCTCGCCTGCCGCGGCGGCGCCCCGCGGCTCTGGAGCGGCGGCGGCCTCCCCGCGCGCCGCTGCGAACTCGCTGAGCACCTGGGACCAACGGTCGCCGCGAGCGCTGGCCTGTGGCAGGGCCACAGGCCGTGCTGGCGCGTGCGGCATGCCTGGTGGCGGGGGTGGTGCCTCGGCCGTGTTCTCGGGTGCGCAGTTTCTCCGCGTCCATACTGTGATGTTGTCGCTCCCCCGCGAGTCTCGCCATACAACACTGGCATGGGTGCTTTCCTCCTGGCTCAGCTCGTAGTGCCCAAGGTGGAAAGAGCACGCGAAAGGTCCCGCCTTCCGGACCACCATGGCGGACTCCTCGCCGTCGAGTCGAGGCCCAGACATGCTGACCAGAAGTCCCGACCGCCCGAACGACGCGTGCACATCGTTGCCCTCAGAGTCGGCCCACTCTCCCACAAGGGTCGAAAGGTCGATGAAAGCCATGCCTGCCGACGCTTCCTACTCCCAAGAGCGGCGCCCATCTGTGCGAGCTGGCAGTGGATGCCACGGGAAGGGAGCAGCACTTGTAGACTTGAGCCAAGTCGGCCAGAAACCGAATGGCACCACTGCTCCTGTCACAGATTTGGCCTTCCATGTTGAACCCTTGGGCATTGGACCTGCGAGGGGGATCTCCACAGAAGGATGGCATAATCGCCCTGGCAGCCGATGGTAATACGCAACACCCCAGACTAGCGGAAAGAATAAGGAGGCGGCGGTGCGGGCGAACCGCCCCCATGTGTAGCCTGCAGGAGCAGTTCCCATGCGTAGCACCCACGTGTGGCCCCCGCGTGCGGCCCCCATATGTGACACCCAGCGCAGCCCCAATGTGGAGCCCCCAAGTGTAGTCCCCAATTCAAGCCCCCAGGAGCAGCCCCCACGGGTCACCCGAGTGAGGCCCCCATGTGTGGCCCCCACGTGTTTCCTCCATGTGTGGCACCCAGGTTTAACCCCAATGTGTACCCCCCCAAGTGTGGCCCCCAGAGGCGGGCCTCACTCTGAGAAGAACCCCAAGTCCAGCCCCCAAGTTCAGGGCCCCCCTCACTCTGAGAAGGACAGACAGATAATGTTTGCGAGAGCAGGACCCAAGAAGACGCCGCTGGCGAGCGGCGGGGAGTCCAGGCGCCTCAGCGGGTAGCTGCTCACCACCTGAGCGTGCACGGGCGACCGTGTGGGGCGACCTCTCAGCCAGGAGTCACCCCTGCACCCACCAGCGAAAACTCCCATCAGATAACGGAAAACCGCATAAACATAAACTTTCGGAGCTCCGCGCGGATTTCTTGGATCTGCGCTGGACCCCCCCCCGGCGGCGCCTCCAGCGCCGCCCCTAGCGCGCTCCGCGCGCCAGGGAGGGGGGTTCAGCGCCGATCCAGGCAATCCGCGCGGAGCTCCAGATGTTTATGCTTGCGCCGTTGATTGTACTCCGACTCACTCCATCCAGCCCCGCACCCACGTTCCCTTCCCTGACCTCGCCTCATCCCCACCCCGCCTGCCCTCCCCACCCTCTCTCTCCTCCGACGCTGCATGTTTGCTCGCGACGGCGGCCCCCGGGGATCTCGACCGTTTCCGCGGGGCTGGATCTTCCTCCCGAACAATTTGTGGACGATCCTGGGGCCAAGACACGGCCTCCACATGCAGAGAACAACGGAAAACCCGGCCGCCGTGATTGTTGTTTGGGCGTCGCCCCGATCTGAGGGCACGTTCATCTCCCCCATCCTCGCTCCTCCACAGGATTAGAAGGCATGGCATAAGACCTCCTCCATACTAGCACCCCGACAAAGAAGCTGTCTAGTTAACGCACCCAGGGAAGGAGTCGAACAGGGCAGGGCTGTGTAGTAGACGCCCAGGGCCGTTTCGCCGACGCCAACTGTCTGGGCCTGGGTGGCTCTTCATCCCTGGAGGGATGGAGCGCGGGAGGAGTTTGATACATGGACCGGCGGGCGCCGTGCCAATCTGGCAATCGCGCCGTGGGCCTCCCGCGCCCCTGTGCCGCATCGCATCCACCCCGCTCTCTCCCCCGGGCGGATGACTTGCAAGACATATATCACACAAATGCCCGCCACAGTGCCTTGGCATGTAGTAGAGCGTCCTCAGGTCCATTTGAATCCATTGTTAGGTATTGAATAATCCAACTGTTCTCGTAAAGCGCCGACAACGTTGAATGCCCGGGCGATCTTGGGCGCGACCGGGCGCTACTGGGACCAGGTCGCGTTAGTTTTTCCTGAGGCCAGAAGGCCCCAAGATGGGCCCTACCAGGTACAGATCATATGTTCGTCTTGCAGTATGATTATTTTCAGCGTTCTCGCCTTCTCATGCTTCCAACGCTCCACGACGGTACAAGATTCCCCCGAAACGGCCCGAGAGGATCTCAAGACGGCCCAAAAGGCTTCCAAGACGGCCCAAGAGACCCCGAGACGGCCCAAGAGGCCCACAAGACGGCCCATCAGGGCCCAAAGACGGCAAGAAGCCCCCAAGTCTCAACTGCCCAAAGGGCGCACACGCAATGCACAACGCTATCCACCCACCGTCACTTTGCATAGGTTCTTCTCGAGGATCATAGGGGTCGTTGGCAGATTGTCCGTCGCTGGTGCATCGCCGACGTCGCCGATGCATCGGCAACGCGGCGCGATCCTCCGACCCCATCTACTCGGACCCCATTGGTCGCCCCCTAGCATGGGGGAACCGGGTCCTGTGGGAAACGGGTTCTGGATCCTGGGGCCTTCAGCTTTTCATCCTGAGTCGTTTTCTGACAGTCCTGGGCCCCGTGGAGGGCCCCGAAGGCCCGAAGATGGCGAAAAACCTCAGGACCCGCTTCCCTCAGGACCCGCTTCCCCCATTGCGATCACCCCTCCCTGAGGGGCAACCATAGGGGGGGATAGGCATAGGGTGGTAAACATCGACCTGGAATCAGCGATACACCGCCGACAGATCGGCGATAGGCCCCCGATAGCACGTTCCTGGGCAGGTTGGGGCTATCGGGCCCCCATCGGCGATCAATGTGCCATTGGGGGTCGATGCATATACCCCCCTATGCCCATCCCCCCCTATGCCTTTCCCCCCTATGCCTATCCCCCCCTATCGTTGCCTCCATGCCTATCCCCCCCTGTGCCTATCCCCCCACATCGTTCCCCCTGACTCCCTCCCCCAACCGCTCCGGCGCCTCAACGCCGGACCGACTCTACGCCGCTAAGCCCGCCGCGGACGGCAGCACCGGCTGGGAGGCGGTGGCGGCCCCGCGCCCGTCCCCTCCCATCGGCCGCGGGCCGGCGCGAGCGACGGCGCGGAGAGGCCCCGCGCGGGGCCTACAGCCCTGGGGGGACCTCGGCCATCCCTGCGAGCCTTTGCGGGCGTCGCGTGGGCCGCAACACTCCACCATCGCGGCCAGAGCGGCGGCAAACGCCGCGCCACTGCCGTCGTTGCCGCAAGCTTGACGCCCAACCCACTGAGCTGCATGAGGGCACACGAGTCAAACGGCGCGTAACACCCGAGCCAACCTTTCAGGACGCCCGCCCACCGAAATGCGACCCTCTCTGCCGGAACAGTAAGACCGCCAATTGGCATCTGGGTATCTGCATCACCACCGCGCAAACTTAGACTGGACGGAGTCTAGAACGCCGGAGCCATCAAATAACGACGAGGAAGGATGGCACGTATGAGGAAGACAAGCATGACAATGAGCCTGGAAAGACAATCGATAAAGTTCAAATAATCTCAGGATGTCGTGGGTCTCGCCCCCCGAGCAGCCCTCACTCCTAAAGGTGGGCAACGACTGAACAGGAAGCCTCCTACGCTCTCTGAAAGCATACCCATGGACAAACTGATTATCACCATGTGCCAATTGCTCACTTGCCAATTTGTTTCACCAGGCGGCATCGCAAGCACATGAAGTTATAGCTGATCGAAGGATCAACGCAACATGGGGCTCACATGACCATTCGAAGGAGTGGCCATACCAACATCTGGACACAACAACGCACACGTGAACCATTCGAACCACATTGGAACACCATAGTGGATGACACCCATGAGGCATTGCCTGAAGCCATACCTTAGGGCATGAAGCCATAAGCCATACAATGAGCATATTGCGATGATCATTGGAACCTCTTGGGCTGTCTTGAGCGTCCCGACGCCCGAAAACGAAATCATGCGAACAACGCAATTGCCTCTTCGGTACCTCTCGGGTCTCCCATTGTGGTCGCCTTTGGGCGCCTCGGAAACCGTCTTGGGGCTATCCGGAGTACGTTTGGAGGCCATCTTTTGTCCGTCTTGGAGACCATCTTGGCCGTCTAGGAGGCCACATCGCACCATCTTGGATGCACTGCATTTGCCACCAGTCAACTAAAGAGGCCGATCCCTGCTGTCAGGGGACATCTTCCCCTGGGTCTGAACGCCCTCCACCGCGGGAAGATGGCTCCAGATAGCCTCCTGGCCTCCTTGATGGCACACTGTAGCCAAAGATGAAGCAAGATGGCATCAACCACGTCTCCAAGAGGGCGTAAGACCGCCAAAGGACGGTCCGTGATGGCCACGGGGCTTCCCAGGGATTCTTCCGCGAGGCCACCATCCATCAAACAACTACTATTTCCTTCTCAACTTGTCGTTTCCGATTGGCTTTGGAGCCTCATGATAGCCATAGAAAGCTTCTAGCAGGGTGCAGAGAACCCCAAGACAATTTTGAACGCCCCCCGAGAGCACCCCAAGAATGTCCCAACGGAGCTCCTAGAGACGGCTATTCTGTTTCCGACGGGGCAAGGCAACTCGAAGCCGCCCCTTTTGTGTGATCCATGGCCGGTATGGATCGTAACCCTCGAGACGGCAACACACGCTTCCGAAAAACAGTCCCGATGGGGGCCTACCCGCAATGGCCGAAATATTGCTCTTTCAAAAAGCTCCAAAAGGCCGCCCCCCCGGAAGAACGGGGGCTCGCCTGCGAATCGATCCTTGAGGGGTTAGGGGTTGGCAGGGGGTACGCGGAGGAGGAGTAAGAGCGATGAAGAGCAGGAGGACGAGAAGCGAGCAAAAGGAGGGGGCCGGGGCCCCCCCCCACCCCCTCCTCTTGTTCGCTCCCCGCTGCCCCTCTTCTTCCTCGTCCTCCTCGCCGCCCTCTGCGCCTGCCCCTCATCTGCCCCGCCATCGCCCTGATGGTCCCCTCCCTCCAGAGTGGGGGGATGAGCAGGACGAGGACAAGGGGGAGGAGGAGGAGGAGGAGGACGACGAGGAGGACCGAACCTCCCTTGGCGCGGCGACTTTCCGTCCACGGCTCGATACGGCCGCGGCGGTCCGGTGAGGCATGGCCGTCCCCACGTCGCGGAGCTCGGCAGCAGCCTCAGGATGCCACGCACGGCTGCTGCAGCCGAGGTGTGTGTGTGTGTGTAATCCGCCGCCGTGCCGTGCGCACCGAAAGCGCGTGGGTAGGGGGCAAACATACGTACCCCCCCAAACAT